CTTCCGGTGGCCGCGGCGTGCGTCATCATGTAGGTGTAGAAGCTGGGGTCCGCTGGATGAGGCCACGACATGGCCAGGCGCTGCCGTTTGTCCTTCATGCGCCGGTTCTGGAACCACACCTGCAGGGACAGCCACGCCACCGCCCCGGTTAGGGAGCGCTGGATATTTCCAGCCCCGGCCTAGGGTCTCCAAAGCCTTCCCGGGTCCCCAAGTAGCCTGGCCTTTTCTGGCTCAATCCCGTTGCTCTCCCAGATAGGACAGGGTGCACAGAAACTTGCGGGCCTCCTAGGGCACACACCTCCACAGCCAGAAGAGTCTCCTCTCCTGTGTTTGGTGAGACTCCTCGGGTTCTGGCTCTACACTTGCTGCTTTTTTTTTTTTTTTTTGCCCCCCTCATCACAAACCAACCTTTTATCTTCCTCTGTCTACCCACCCAGCGGTGCCCAGCCTCACTGAACACGGGTCTGTCAATCCCAGGATTTGCACGGGGATTCCGGGCAGCCTTTGAAGAGAGGCTGTCTCCAGTTTTTCTGAGAGGTAGCGGCTCCAGGTCTTGAGCCCTCCGAGCTGCAAGGACAGGTCCCTAGGGGTGTGGGCCCGATTAGGGTATTGAAAGGATGATTTTGTTGGAATCATTTGCTTTAAATGAGTGGCAAAAAAGCTATGTGCCCAAAACCTGGAAAGAGAACTTTCCTACTCCTCCTAACATAGTATCTAATAAAGACATCATTCGTCACAACTGTAAATGAAAGAAAGCACGATCAAACTGGAGGACTTCTGTACCCGTCTCTTCTTTTGCTAGAGAGCTGAACGCTCCGTGAAGTGCTCACCAAGCCTACCTAGTTTCCAGCCATCTTTTCTGGATGCAAAATAAAATTTAAAAATTAATAATATATATTATGTAATTTCGTTGTTTCACGTTGCCCAAGAGAAAATCTCTTTAGGAAACTAGTCCTCAATGCAATCGATTTTTTAAATACTGCAGCGTTTTCTTCAGGTACTAGCGATTTTATGTTAGAAATAAATCTCCAAAATCGGGAGCGAATGAAAAGTTTCACCTCGGGTTTGTACCAGAGGAACAAAAAACAGCCCGCCTTGCCGCTTAGAGCAAAGTAGAACCTTGGGCACAGGCGAGGAGGCACCTGGACAGCCATTGGGAAGAATTGAGCAGGGAGAGGGTTCGGTCAGAAGCATGGGCCTCGCGATTCAGAACACATTCTCGGGTTAGCCAGGCCTGCCAACCGATTGGGATTCCACATAGGAGAAAAAAATAAGCCTACTCCTTCGGTGACAAACCCCGGTGGACTGTCACAGCTAACTCTCGCCACCCAGAAAAGGAGAAAAGGGGAGAAAAGAAACACATCAACCAGGTGCCCCGAGGGAGGCCTGAGCAGACATGTGCCAGAATCGATACCTTGATGGTGGTTTCAGGCAGGTTGAGTGCGGCGGCCAGCTCGCATCGGCGGGGCCGAGACACATAATTCTCCCGGTAGAACTCCTTCTCCAGGCGTGCGATCTGTTCACGGGTGAATGCCGTACGGTATCGCCGCACCTGATCGGCGCCGGAGCCGGAGCCCGAGCCACCCAACGCTGCACCCCCGCTGTTGCCGTTGCTGCCTCCATGCAGACTGCCGAGGCCCGAGCCGGAGGCCGACGTCGTGGTACCTGCGACTGAGCCGCTCTCCGCGTACCCTAGCAAGCAAACAATCCACAATTCCTAAGTAGCTGTAGGACCCAAGAACCCTGAGCTGGGATTGCTAACTGGTGGCAAAAGTGCTTTCGGGAAGGAAAGTCGCTGTCAGAATTGATGGGGGTCTGTCAGTCCTACAAATTGCTGCCGTTAATGGAATCAATGAAGTTTAGGGAGTCCTTCCTAACCAAATAATAGAAACGGAATTTAAGAGGTTGTTCTTTTCCCAGTAATTAGAAAATTTCCACTCGGTAGGAAAACTGACCTAGGGGGGGAAAAATCTTACTTCGAACGCAGTTTGAGAAGCTGTGGGTTTTACATGGTCTGGAAACCACAGGACGGCCTCCTACCTTCCTTTGACAGCCTTTGGTTTGAAATATCTTAAAAATTTTAAAGCATCTGCAGCTCAAACCCGAGACTGTAAAGGGGGAGGAGGTGTCTAGTTTTCAACTCTTTTCTGTCGCCGATTTAAGCGGTTGTGCAGAGGTATGGGGCCAGACTGTCTCAGATTTATCCAGAGGAGTTTCCCCTCCACCCGGCCCTGGGGGCTCCAGAGGCAGCAGAGTTCGGAGCCCCTGCCCAGTGCACCCTTCCCCAAGAGCAAGTGAGCAACTGTGTCGGAAACATTTGCTCCGACTCAGGCAGTAGCCTGGGCGAGGAGGCCTGGCTCCTTAGGCTCCACAGGCCAGGGCTGAGTTGGGAAGCTCAAAGAACAGAGCTAGAGGGTATGGTCCCCGGCATGCGTCCCTCCCTGGCCCCTGCCAGCTCTGTGCAGCGCTCTAGTTGAGAGACAACAGACCCGCCAAGGTGTGGAAAGAACTGGCGGGGCCCGCGAGGCGGGTCTGAGGATGGGGCTACAGAACGAGGGCTGCCCGGTTACCTTTGGCATTGTTTTCCTTGAGCGGCGCGGCGCCCAGGCCGCTGGGGGAGCGCAGTGCCGAGCAGCCCACCTCCACGTCGCTGCTCATGTCGGCCTCGGCGGCCGCCCCCGCATAATGACCAGACTTCTTGCGGCTCTCGGTGGCAGAGGCGATTTCGGAGGAGACGGTGCTTTCGCTGCTCGGGTGCTGCAGGTTGAACAGAGTGTCTATTTCGAATTTGCCCTTGGCGGGGAGGTCTCCCAGAGCGCCGTGCAGGGGAGCGGACGGCAGGCGCGGACTGAGGCGAGCCGGGTGCTGCGAATTTTCCAAGGCCTCCAGCACAGCACTGCCAGACGAATCGGACAAATTGGAGAACCTCTTGCTAGCAGTAGGGCTATGGAGCCCTCTCTCCATCAGAATCATCTCTTTTCTTATTCTTTCCATCATCTCAGCTTTCTAAAAAAAAAATGTCACAGTGGCCTGGCTGTCCCGTCTTAATGATGGGCTGCGCCTAGGGCTGATTCTCATTCAGCCCCAGCAAGCGGCTCTAAATATTATTATCTCTTTTGGAGGGAGGCGGAAAAATTGTGGGATGCCAGAGCGAGGGAATGACTGGTCAAAATGACCCATACATCCTTCCGAGTCGGAGATGTCATTCATCAAAAAGTAGCGCCCGCTCGTCATTAAGGTACGAATGACGCCGTTCGAATAATCATTTATTGTAACAGGTTTATAAGCAAATAAATACACGCTCCTGTCAGTGGGTAATGAAGGCGACTTCAGAGCAGACAAATAGATCCAGGTAGGAGACCAGAAGACACGAGAAGTGAGGAAGAAGGCTCCAGTCCTTTGCCCGCTCCCAGCCAGTTCTGCTCGCCCGGGGGTTTGGCCTCGGGGGTGAAATTGACAGTCTGATTAATAGAGCACGCCGCGGCACATTTCCCCCTTCATTTAGGGGCATCATTACGCTCTCAGTTTGCTGGGTTGCCCCTTAGGTCCTAATCATGCAGCGCCTTCCTCATTTTTTCCACGGACACAGATAACGTGTTAAATAATAGATAATGCTTTGATTTTCCAGAGTAGATCCTTGGGAAGTTTTTTTTGTTTTGTTTTGTTTTGTTTTAACATTTACAAGCTGGGGGCGTAAGGAGGGCGGGTAAGGGGGAGGATACAGGAAGAGCTGCGTAAGAAGACTTGTGCCCGCTCCTGTCAGGGTTACTTATCTTTCTGTTTTAAGAACCAAATATTAATAATAAGTATTTTATTTAAAAAATAGGCCCCTGAGTACTTTCTCTCCTTACTTCTGCCTTAGTCTGAGGAGGAGGAGAGAGGGAGCAAGAAGGGGAGGAGAGAGAGAGAGAGAGAGAGAGAGAGAGAGAGAGAGAGAAATATCTTGTAGAATTTTTTAAATGCTTTCAGTGCTAACGTGGCTGGGGAGGTACATAGGGCCCTACCTCCAAACGGAAATCATTACACCATCTCTGATTTTCTACCACTGTTTTCAGACTGACTTCTGAACTCGAAGACCCCAGACTTTTAGTTTATAGTCCAGCTGATGGATAAGCTTCTCCTCACCCTCGCATTTTCCCCTAGGGGACATGAACTAGACTGGACGGTTTGATAGCAGAATTCGACAGCTAACTTTAAACACAATCGTGATTTACCGTACCATAGGGGCCGCTCCCAATCCACTTTTCTTTTAATGACAGCTCCCACCCACCCACCCCTCTCAAATAAACTTATTTGTGGCAAAGTAGCTGGGTTTTGAGGTCAAAGTGGAGGGAAAGGGGTCTCCTGCTGCTCTCTTCCTGCCCCACTTTGATCTTCATCCATCTCTCTGCTCTCCCGCTTCTCCACCCTAGCCCCTTACCTGTGGCCCCTGGTGTTCCTGGTGCTGGGTGGGGGCACAGAGAGTCTCCGACCAACCTTGCCTCTTCTCCTTCCTGCCCAAGGCTGGAGGCTGAGCCTCTTGGCGATAACTTTGATAGTCATAATGACGCCGGTGGCAACCATTTTAAGGAAGATCAATCTTCACTCAAATCCGTTCATCTCCTTCCGCGCTTGCGCCCCACCCTGCCCGACTCCGGTGCGTCCGTCCGTACTGGTTCCCTCGCTGGCTGCCCCTGAGGCAGAGATTCGCCCGTACTGGCGAGGTGCACAGAGGACAGGAACAGTACTCAGCGGTCCAGCTTGTGAGCTTCCAAAGCAGCCTGAAGGGCCTGGCAATCTGGACGCTGGTTTCGGGTTTTGCATCCTGGTCACAGCACCAACTCAGACCCTAACCCCAGCCCCCTCCTTCCCTCTTTGGGACACACCCAGCACATTGGGGTGTGTTAGGGGGCAAACCCCGATCTAATTGCCCATCTGTCGGCTGGCGCTTTCTTTTTAACCTTGGACCCGTTGGGGGCGCGTCAGGAATGTAAGGGGAGGTGAGGTGTGAAGTATATTTATACACATGTGTAAACATATATAGTCAATGCCAAAAGTTTCTCTCCTCTCCCCCTTGGCGCCAACTTATTTCTACAAGCAAGCTTTGCTGAGAAAGTCAATCCCACCTCTTTAAAGTCGTGAGTTGAAAGCTGGATAGGCTCGAAGTCTAAGAATTGTCTGGTGGGCTATGGCTTCCATTTGAGAACTTGACCCAGCATCCACCTTTACCCCTTTCCCAGTGACTATCCCACCCTCGTGGTCACCCAGCTCCTGGCATTTGCGTTCTCCTCCAGCAGGCTTTCCGCTACTCTATTTGCTGTGCTGTTCTGTTGTTGGCACGATAGGAGCACAGCCCTGCGGTCGCCCCCACCTGCTTCTCAGACAGGATGCCCAGTTCCACCGGTCCTGGCAGTCACTGCTTCAGTGTCCTGGGAGGAAGGGTCCTTCTACCCAATCCTTGCTTACCCAAGAGACTATAAGAGACTCTGCTCTAGGCTAGGCTCCATGGGGGGCCAAGACCCTGGCTGCAAGTGGTCGCTCAGCCGGGACGGAAATCCGCGGATGCCTTTATTGCTGTCATTTGGCGCCCCCATCTGTTTTCCTCGCGGTTTCAGCCGCTATGAGCTGCTTTTCAGTCGCATAAGCCTCAGCGGCCTAGGAAGATGGCCCACTTCCTCTGACGCCTTTGGGCCTTCCATTTCTTCCCTTCTTCTAGGACTCGCTGCCTCTGGTTCCAAAAGCTGGCCAAGCCCGAGCTCGGGAAATGGAAAACACCCCGTTTCTCCGCGACTCCTTCATTCATTAGGGGTTTTGGAGTTATTTTGCATCTTTTAAGTAATACTAATATTGCATTTCTCAAATGTTTGTTGCAGCAAGTACACTTGTAAACTATCACAGTGAAAGACATTTCATTGCATGTAGCAGACAGTAACATTTCACAGTGCTAGAATTGTCCTAGTTTTCAGCCTTTAGTGTCTTCAAAGTACCTAGCACCAAAGAACAAGGGCATTCAATTACACAAGAACCTAGCCTATGCCCATGGGGATGTTTACGATGGGAGAGTGAGGTGACATACAGGAAAAACTATCTCCATATTATCCAAAAAGCACAGTTTTTCTGGAAAGAATGACATAAATAAAGGACAGCACCTCTGTTTCTTTTGCTCCCTTTCTTTCTTTCCTCCTCCTTTCCTTTCTTTCTTCCTTCCTCCCCTCCCTTCCTTACTCCCTCCCTCCCTCCCCTTTTCCTTTCCTTCCTTTCTTTCCCCCTGGGGTGGGATTAGGCCTCCAAACTAAGTATTTATTTCTTGTAAACAGATGATCCCCCAGGTGAAGTGCTAAACATTTGACCTGTGACTTCGGGTAAAAAATTGTCCCAGATTTGCAGAGGGATGGGTCGAGAATAAAGCTGGAGCTGGAACGGAGCTGCATGGTGCGTTGGTCTGAGCCAGCCTTTCTGACAGAGGGCACCAGTCAGTACAAACCACCAGTTCTCAACCTCAAACCTCTCTCAACCTGGAGAGAGACTGCAGAAGGGGCTGCAGAAGGTGGTGTGTGGAGAGCAAGCATCTCTAGGCCTGGCATGTTTTCTTTAGTCTAAGAGCAGTTCTCACGACCAGGTTTCGATTTACAGGAGAGGGTAAGTGTTGGAATAACCAAGCCTGCCTTCACTAGGGCGAACTTCAGGCACCCAGCACTCTGCCTCGCCTGGATCAGCCCGGCCCAGTCGCTTCAGTTTTCCTTCGCCTGCAATTCCAGGCTACCCTAGGACGGTTGTGGGTGAGGGTTTGGGTGGGTACTTTCTCCCTGGACTCTGAGGCTGCTCAGAATCGCCGCCTGCCTGGAGTTTATGTGCCAGACAGACCCAAGAACTTGCAGAGACACCTAGCGCCACGCGCAGGGAATTGCGGGCTCCTTTCAGGGATCCGGAACCCCACCACTGGCATCCTTCACCAGCCTCTCAGCTCCTCCTACATGTTTAGGCGTTTTCCAACCCTTCATCCCCTTTGCCTTGCTGATATCCATAACGTGGATTGCCCATAGAGAATGTGAATGATGTGAAATAGTAATAAGCTTCTATTTGGACTCACAGCTGACAGTAAGCATTTAGCCAGTTAGAAAAGTGTTGCTAGAAACTCACACTTTCAAAATGTGAGAGCAAACAGCAAATTGCAATCCTCGCTTCTATTTAGAAAGAAAGGAGGAAATTATTCGGTCCTTCAGCTCTTGCCCTATCTTCCCAGAGCCTCCTCTCCAGTAAAGCTTAGTACTTCTTTGGAAGGAAAGACCCTCCCTATTTCCTATGGTCCAAGGCTGGGAGTTCTCTCCATCTCAAAAAAAAATGTCATGCTGTCCTGTAGAGGTAACCTTAGAATTTTAAAGAATCATGTGGTATATGGAGGGGGTCTTTGTTTTTGCATGAGATTTTCCTTTAATAGAGGCTAATTTTGTTGCTAAACCCAAAAGGATTCCAACTCGAAATATAAATAGATAGATAATGCCCCAAACACAGGATTCTATTTTCTGACTATTAGTGACTAAAACCCCCTTGCTTTGCTAGACTTTGTTGTTTTGTTATTGTTCTTGTTGTTGTTGTTTGGATTGTATTTTATACTTTGTTTGTTCTTTTGGTGTTTTTCTTTCCCCAGCATGAGTAAGTTGCTTATTAGCTGGAGAGGGAAAATAAGCCCCAGAGCCAGCAGACAGGCATGGATAAGAACACCAAGCAGCCAATTCTACTCCACTGAAGCTTTTGCTTCCAAATTGAGACTTTTTCTACTGAATCTTTGGTTTCTCAAAAGTCAATTATTAGGGTATCCTGTATTTCCTGGTTGTGACCATGAAGGTACATACTTTCAAAGGAATCTCCCACAACACCATTCTGATAGGACCCTGCTGCCATCCTGGCTGTAACAGGCAGCAATTATGTGGTTAATTGAGCTCATTGCTATCTTGGAAAGTAGGACATGTCAACAAGTCTAAACCCTAGCCTGTACCCATCCATTTCCCACCCCCAGA